CTGCGCCACCTTGCAGCCCCGGGGAAAGGGCCATGAGCGGGATTCGAACTCATGACCTCCACATTGGGACTGTAGCCCTGCACATGGACGCCAGCTCAACCAGGTGAGCTATAGCGGCGTGGAATTAAAAAACAAACAAAAAAGAAACGTATAAAATATCTTTAAAGGAGCTGTTTGATGCTACGTACACAACCAGCTCCCTCTGTAAGATGTTATAGATTATATAACCAAAACATATGTGATGAACTGATGAAGCCTCTTGGATAAGAGGTGAAACGTCTTCAAGAAACTCAAGCAAGTCCAGTTGCTATGATTAATCTACCAGAATAACCGTGACCTGGATGACTGAGAATCTTCACAGATGTGGGGCCTTGATGTCTTCTGAGGGTCCCCTGATTTAGGGCTGCTGATTATCAATAATCAAGAAATACTCTTGCTGTAATAATGTGTCAAAACATGAATAACACAAACCCCAACAGGAAAGTGTTAACAGGCTGTTCCTGGTGATGTTATTAGTGGCGCTGTGGGCGAGACATTGTTGAAGATCACAGATTGATGACTACAGATAATGAGAGGCGGCTACATCAGAGCCCAAGAAGCACATTTTTTTTAAAACTTGATTTATTAAATCAGGAATTTGTAAATGAAATTAACAACACTGATGACTTGGAAAATGCTGAATACCGGATCCAGTAATCACCCAGACTGATGATGACATACAGTAATTCTGTAGTGAGTTTCTGTGGAGCTCCTGTCTCCTGCTGAGGAGATTCTTGAACACAGAAGATCAATAGTGTTAAATTACATTATGTTTTTCAGGTGTTCCTATTATTATGTCCACTGTTTGAAGGGCTCTTAGCAAGGCTGACTTCTTGGTCACATCTACCCAATATATTTAGAATATGTTGGAAAAATCCAGACGAAATGTTTCTCAGGATTGTGACCATATTCCCACAGTTGGGATGTGGATACTTCCTGAAACCAGAGGCCACACCTCAACACACCAGATCTCCTCCACGGCAGCACATCTGTACCGTTTGGAGGAGAGACGTGATGAATCATGGTTCCTACCTGCAGCGGTCGCACTGGGCAGATCGGACACGGTGATGAGCGGAGGGAAATTGATACTGGGCGGGTCGTCCACATCAGCCTCCGGACCGTCGGCCATGCTGCTCCGATGTCACCCACCGACCTGGAACTGAGCTGCGGCGGAGGCTCGACACAAACAGCCCGAACAGGAGAAAACCGACGATCTAGATCAGACAAGAGCCATGAAAATAAACAAACGTGACTGTGTGGATGGAGGCGTCTGCTCGCTCCGCTGCGATACTTCCTGACTGCGCTCAGCGCACTTAAAGGGGAAGCGCTGCGTAAAGGCGCTGCTGCAGCTCAGTGTGGCTGCAAAACGCTGTAACACCTTATACAAGACCCTACAACGCAGAATAACAGGACGTAATAAATAAAGAACCAATAAACGATTTTTAAAAAAGAGCGTTTTGAGCTAAACATTTAGATAGAAAGCTGCGTAATACTATAATAAAACCAGCAAATATTTAAGAATCTAAGAACGATTCCCAGTCAGGGAAATATAAGCATCTTTAAGGATTTGTTAATTTTAATGAATTAATCATCTATATTTTATGCTGTTTTAAATCCTTGTCCAAGCTGCCTGGCAGGGCCGGAGCCAGGATGTAGCCCTGGGTGGCCACCTCAGGCCAAAGTCTGGCCACCAGTAGAGAAGCTCATAAAGCCTTGATTGTGCTTCAGTGCAGATGCACACATTGACTTGTACTTGTTGGTGTTATACTACTTTTCTAGTTTGTTCTGAGTCCGCTTGGAAAACGCTGATGCAAACGCATGCAGGAGGTTGTACCAACGTTGTCCATGCGTACACTCACGCTGTTGTCCTCGGAGCAAAGTTGTGTGGACACAAAGTCTGGCCTGCCGCAAACATCCACAGAGGGCCTGGACTGTTGGGGAGATGGCAAAATAGACATAAAGCCATGCGTACTCACAGACATAGAAAGTATAACATCAGCCTTTAGGAGATACCATAGAACTGGAGTTATGTCATAATGTTATTAGGAGAGTTATATCAATTCTTAAAAAAGCAGCATTTGGAACATCTGTTTATTCTAGTCAGCTGTGAGCTACATTAAAAGCTTTTTATCTGTGAGTCCTCATGGTGCATTTCTGCCTTCATAAGCAAATCATATAAGTGATCAAAGAAAATTAGCTGTTTGGCCAACAGGGATTAGACATAAAAAATAATAATGAGATTTGAGTTTCTGTACTAATTATTTCGTCATTGTGTTGGCCAAAAAGACATCACATTTAATTATGCTGAGTCTAAAATTGTGATGTGTCAGAGTATTTGGAGTTAGTTGGACGCAAAATATCCCATAAATCTGACTCGCAGTCTGACTATTCAAGCTCACATCCAAGAAGACCATTTAAAAGGCCAAAGAGCAGTTCAGACGAGTGATCCAGGTCAGGTTTGTACTTTGCACTGTATTGTATATCCAAGTTTATGTGTGTTCGTGAGGAAGACGTTCTGTTTGGCTGATAGTAGAGTAGGTATTCCGGGTAAGTGCAAAATGAATACCTAAAACGTACCGCCAAGTCTCTTTTAACTATCAGTGCGTGCCGAGTAGTTTTTGGGTGGGTAACATACACCAGGGAGGCATGCAGGCATGGCTCTGTGCTGCCTGATGACAGACACCGAGATCCTAGTGGTGCTCTAAAAATAAATGACAGGTCAACGGAGACATGTGTCCCTATAAGTGGACATTTTGCTTACAGGCTTTCAGCTCAGCACATAAAAAGGCTGTTTATAGTGGAAAAAGAAACGGATTGGTGAAGGATACAGTAAGTCACTGTAGCCCACAATGTGACACACAACAATGCACAGGTTAGCCCCCACTGAGTACAACACACACAACAATAACCGTTTAATAATGACTTAAGGCCGTGTGGTTAACTTTCAGGATTAAAGTTGCAAAACTGATTAGGCCTCTCAGTTTGGCCTCACTTGAAGATTAGTGGGGAAACTGCAGACCGTGAAAGTGAAAGGTGTGGTCACTCATTAGCAGCACAAACCTTTGTGAAATTCAAAGGCTATAATGAACAGAGTTCACCAGTAAAGAGGCTGCCATGTCTTCTTCTTTGTGGAGCTGTCCTGTTTAAAGGTAAACGCAGATGGATAGTTGAGCTTTCCCTTCGTTGGACTGTGCTGAATTTCTTAATCCACCTGTTGAGACTGGGGCCAGTGTATTCGCTGAAAGCAGGTGTCACGCCTTCTGTAAAGGGGCCTTCAGCTAAATCTCCAATTTGTGTCACAAATGTTCTGTCCAAATCTCGCCTAATCACTGCTAGAGGGGCTTCCTGAAATGTTTTGTGTTGTGCAGCTGTTGGCTTGCCAGAGAAAAGTTTTACTTCTGTCGTGCTGATCGAAGCTTCAAAAGAACAGAGCACGGCCAGTTACCACAAGGACGTCACATAAAGTCCTACATGAAAAATTACAAACCAGGGTTAATATCATTTTACTTATAATGTAACTCGAGCAATCAAGACCTCTCATTAAACTGCCAATTTTAAGGCCAACTTTACTTTAAGTCTGTACTTTTCTCTTAACTCAACAGCTCACCACTCCCAGCTATTAAACATATAAAGAGGAGACAAATATTTATTGAAACGTAACCATTTATTTCACTCCACTACAAAATTATAGAATTATTTGAACTATGATACAGTCTCCACATATACATAATGTACAGTTTAAAGAAAACGTGAGGGCGTGATACAGATAATGTACAGTTTAAATGGTCCTTTTTTAGCATGTGAGCATGCAGGTTCCCGCTTTTCCAGTTTTGAAATGACATTTTTCAATTTAAGTTTGTTTGACTCCACATAATACTGATATGAAAATGGAGTAAAATTAAACAAAAATGATAGCACATGATGACTACTGAATCCTTATAGGAAATAGCTCTGCATCCCTTAAAGACATGAGTGAAAATATAGTTTTTCTAATAACCATTATTGCCCATGAACACATCTAATCTCAAAATTTGTCTGTCAGAAGCTAGAAATGTCTTCCCCTGTCCATTTACAAATCTGTTCTTCAGTTAGACCAGGCGACAACATGGGCAGCATCAGAGAACATATTCATGCTCTCAGCACAGATGTTGTGTCACGATACTTTTAGCAACCCAATGGTCTGACAAGGCGGTGGGAGTGGAAACCCCAGTCTGGGAAGAAAAACATTTTTGGAAATATAATCTATGGTAGAAAAGATAGAAGAGTCACGGTGAAGCATGTGTGGTCACCACATTCACACATGAACTCATGGAACTTGTTTTGTTACTACTGCATTCAGTGGTCGTTATGGGATCACCGTCAGTCCAACCACGAGTTCACAGCAAGCGTCATTTAAAAAAAATAGTTTTCTGTAAACACTGTGAGTCCAGATCTTCTGGGAGGCAAACGTAGCAACTGCATGTGTATTAATGAGAGTGTAAAATTACATTTTTTAAATGTGGTAACTGCATTTTCATTCAGGATGAGATAGGCCACTATGTCAGGAAACATTTGTATTTCATCTACCCCCAGAATACAATCACATGTTTCCATAACTGGAATGTTGAGGAGAAATGGGTCAGCGGCTACTTTCAGTCTCACATCTCTACGATCCAATCTCTTACGACAATTGTCAGTCTAGTATTGCTTCATATTTTTAGTGTTAGCTACATGTGTGAAGTATATTTCTTTTAGGTTTCAAAATGAGCTAATAAAATATTGTCTTGTATTGTTTTCGTTTATAAAGACAGTTCTCAAAAAGTTACATCCAACCAAACGTAGTCTCCGTCTCAAAACAGGAACCGTTTGGCAAATCCTACAGCACAAACAGATAACCGAGATGGTGGCTTTCCTGCATGCTCACGGCGAGGAGAATGGACATATGCTTTACTGGTTTCCCTGAAAGTACATAAAAGTAGTGTGTCTATTATAGTTTTTATAAGCTAGGCGTAGGAGAGAGAAGAAAGAATCCTAACACGGATTACTTGCCAAAAAGCTTTTTCTAAAATAAAAAAAAAAAATCCAAAGTTACATCCTCTAATCATATTTATGTCAAAGTGCAGCAGTGCTTCAAAAGTGGAAGAGTGAATAAGGTAACAAAGACGAACTGCGAAGAAAGAAAGCTCAGCATGTGAACAAAAAATCTAAAGACTAATTTAAACCAAGATATCACAGTTATGTAACATACATTTCAGTCAATTAGGCCACCAGGACCCTCCACAGGAATCCTGGTGTTCTCCAAGCAAGAGGGAAAATGTATTTTCGCCTGCTTTCAATCAGCTGAACGTGCCATGAGGTTGTGTAATTATTGTTGTGTATTTAGTCCAATAGCACTATAGCAGGTGCAATTAGCATCATGGAAAACGAGCAGAATCAGAAAGCAAGCCCGCTAATGACTCAGTATGTTACAAGTCCTCACAACAAGAAAAAACTGCCGCCACAACCTAAAACCTGAAACACATTTTGAATGTGGTCTAATGGTGACTGGATGTGCAGCTTAACCAAGCATTCATAACTATCTACTCCAACTTCCAAATCATGAGCTGGGCACTGGCTCGTACTGAAAGGCACATTACAGAACAAGGGCCGACGAGGTCAGCGTGCAGAGCAGGAAGATGATTTGTATGTATTCATCCGTCAGCCTCATCAGCTGACACATCTCCAACACCACCATCCACTACTTCAAAGCCATCACCCAGTTATTTGTGATGAGTGACCTCTTGACCATTGAGTGGTTGTTTGATTCACCAATATCTTACTCCCACCCCCTTGATGTGCAGGAATACATATGGGTCCATCCCCTGTTCTGACAGGAAAACCGAAAAGTGCAGTGTTTGGTCCCGTCTCACATCATCTCCACGACAACAGGCCTTGACAACATTCTGTACGAGAAACTGCGAATGCCTAAATGTTCAGTGCATTTTTATTGGATTTTCTTTGTAGACCTTGTTTGTCATTCAGGTGCTGGATGAGAAGTTGATTCCAGTCACCATCTTCTGGATCTTCTCTTCATTCTTCAGTATGTTGGACCTTACAGCACAAATCTTGTCGTGCTGGTCATTGATCAGCTGCTCCAGCTCAGCCAGTTCTGCTTTGAGAGGTTCCACTGCATGGTCTGTCGCTCTGCAGGACATACAAGCACGCATACACACAAAAAAGGGATAATTAATTGTTTGTGTAAAATTATATATAAAAAAATAGAGAACCTGCCTACAATGACAAAGCTTTTATTGATAAGTCCTCATATTAAAAAAGCTACCTCAGAGTTGTTTATCTCATCATTTAAGTATAGCAGTGATTACTTTAACGCGTCAGATTCTGAGAGAAAAGAAGGCTGAAGAGTGACACACATTGTGGAAAAACTGCATGTGAAGTGTTTATATTTCTGTCTGTCAGCATAGCAAGAGAAACTACATTTCTATATATCTTGAAAGTAGCGCTAAAAATTAAGAACTGGAATCAGTAATAGAAAAGATTGCACCCTGGCATGAAAAGATGAGTCTACATATGAACTCGTGCTGCACATTAGAGGAACTGTACTGAAAGCATGTTGTGTATGCGTCAACCCAACCTCTGCTCCTGCAGCAGGGCCTGTGCGTGCTCCTTGTTCTCTTTCCGCCAGGTGTGCAGCTCGGCCTGCATGGCATCCATGTCCTCCTGGATGTAGTCCATGATCTTACCCAAAGGCAGGGAACTGCGGCACACCATCTGAATGGACGAGCGCAGCCGCTCAATCTCCCTCGTCACCATGTCCCGCTCCTTCTTCCGAGCCGCTTCGGACACCAAGTTCTGAAAGTGAAGTTTGTGTGATGAGTGAACCTTCAAAGCAGGCAAACATTGCGTTCTGCGAGCGCGCGTGTTGCTATTTGAGGAATGATTAAAGGGAACTTCTGGTATAATTTCATGAACAGGTTCAAGAACAAAGTCTCAACAGGCAAAGAAAGTACGTTTTTATACGATCTGCATGATTTAGCACTCTGCACTATATCAAACAGCTGTAGGAACACATAAAACACACACAGAAATCACTTGAGCGTCCCTAGACCAAAACATAATAAACTCTCTTTAGGAATTCCACCTTTTCCAGCAAAGTCTCAAATGCCCACAACCAGAGCAAGGCTGCATTTAGTGGTTTAGGATTTCAAGGCTAAAAATGTTAAGCAGGAATTCTACCAACCTAGCTGTATATATAAAGATCAAACATGCTGCTGAATTGTGTTGGCCAAAGTGGGGGGGACTGGCTGGCTGGCTGGTGAAGGCTTCCAGTTTATGGTGTGCGGCTGAAGGGGGTGGTGGGGGGTGGGGGGGTTCGCTTTATCCCAATTACACTCGGTCCCTTGATGACAAAAAGGAGGGGAAGGTATCAGGGAAGGACCTCCCTTGGCAAGGAGCAAACCCAAGGATGTTTGCTCAGCTGGGCTTCGCAAGGCCTGCGTGTGTGATGGTGAAAGCACTCAGTATTGCAACCCTCAAGCCACACACAGAAACATACACACAGACACACACACACACACCTACAAACACCAACCAGAGGATCAGTCAAAGCATACAGTGAACACACATAACCCCCACCCGCAATCTTGGTCTTTAAGTCTTGTTTATTTTAGTAACAGGCTGTGGCAGCGGGGTTATTTTACTACAGTATTGAGTAACAACTACTACACTTATGCCTCCTTTCAAGTTCAACTCTGGGCCCAAATTATACTATTTGGCTCCAGACTGGAGCACCTGCCTTCACGAAGCGGCCGAATTCGAACTCGCAACAGTGTGCAAACTAAATGACAGCTTCCTCTTAAAAACACACAATCTGTCACAGAGGCCGCTCGGGTAGCAGGCCGCATATGCTTGACATAGCTGGCGCGCACAGCGTTTGTCTTATCAAGCCATCTCTTAAAACAAACCAAAAAAAAAACGCTAAGTAATTACAATTTTGAAAGGCAGCTTGACTAGACAAGACCACACTGCAGGAATGACACCGAACATTATTGTTTGCCACCATTTCTCGTCAGGAAGCAAGTACAAATTTCTGACAACCTCAGTCTGTTACCCGTTTGTAGTGGCTCAAGAGTGTGAAGGTTGAAATGCCTTGGCCCAGTGGTCCCCCAGCAAGGTGGGTGGCTTTCCACTGGGCGTCATGAACCCTGCAGCTAGACAAATACTCTATGGCTCATTCGGCTTGCCTGGCTGCGGTTTAGTCTGCATAGCCCAGACGGAACCCATGGCTTCATTCTATTTGCCGTCCCCTTGCTACCTCAGTCCCCCCCACCTTCCCCTTCTCTGTTGGAAAATAAAAAACTTGGCGTGAAAACATGACCCCTTGTTCATGTGCACTCTGCCTGGGTAGATATAAATCACAGCTTTATGGAGGTCTCTGTCAGGGTCTACGAGACCTGTGTGCTCCTAGTTTTCCTTTTTCTCACCCAGATCACAGAACAATATTTAGACGTGGTGACCACAGAGGAGTAGGAGGTGAGAGAGGAGGAAGAGGGACAGGTTTTCCCATTATCTTAGTCAGCGATGAAAGCCTCAGGAACTGGGGAAGACACAGCCTTTGGCCGCTGCTAGAAAAGTGGAACTGGATTAGTAGGATCAAGAAGAAGTCTTGAGTTTTATACCTACATGGTTTTTTTTTTTTTTTTTTACATATTGCCATATTTCCATAGTGTGAAAGTGCCTATATGATGATAAATTTAAACTTGTTTCATCACCTGTTGAGGGGATTTCCTTTACTTTAACTAAATACTTAGGTTGCCTTCCCAGGCGCGTCCACAGAATGAAAATACGCTCTAACTCTACAACGTGCAGTTCAGTGTGAAATTCACCCAGTCATCACATGCCTAATCAGCTTAATTAGGAAATGCGTGCAAAAATGTGATTTATGGACTGCTTGTGGGGATTTTCTGGAGAAAAAAACATTCTTCAAAGTACCCTCTGACAAGAAAAATAGCAAGCAAGCATAGAACCTGTCAGAGCCATAGAAACCTTTGGGGTGTCATTAACTGGGAAAACAATGATTTAGACACTAGCTGTCCAGCTGATGGCGAGTGAGCAGCTTCTCTTATGAAGAGGTTAAACCTGTTTCCTGTAACCTCATTCATTACTGCTGATTTATCTGATTATATTTAGTCAAGAAAAGGATAGGAAACAAATGTAAAAGCCTTTCTGCTACATCCACAATCAAGTTGAGTCAAATTAAGTATAAACTGAGGTGGTCACAGTAAGCAAGCTCAAATGCTGAAGACTCTTTGTGAACTTAAGGGAAATAACTCAGATAATCACACACACCAAAGGTTTCGTAAGTAAGTTATAGATAGTTGTATTATTAGACCACATAGAACAACTGTAGAGCTTCTGTGGACAACTCTCCTGGCTACTGGGACCTGTTATATGAAGCAAGTTTGGCATACTCAGGATATCTTTTTGTCATCTGGCTTCACTAAACCAAACAGCCGCAGTCAGTCTAAGCAGTCAAGCGATGCTGGTTATCAGCTTGTGAAGTCAACCCAGGTTTTCTGAACCTTGCTATCACATAAAAGGGTAGGTGTTGGCACCAGATGACCAATCACAAACATAAGCAGCATTTCACATAGGAAGAACAAACTAGGATCCTAAACCAATATGAGGAAATTGAAAATATATACATGATACGGGCACAACTGCTACAGCCAAAGCCAGGAAGGAAATCTGGCAAAGTAAGCCGACTCAGTAAATGCGACGTTAGCAGGATATCGATGTCACTGCCCGTATAAGATGTGACTACAATCAGTTTGGGTATTCTATTAAATTATTGTATTACTTTAATGTATTCCAAGACAATTGTAGTCTTCTTTTTTTCAGCTGCAAGTCAAAACACGTAAAACAATCTTGGGATCAAGCATGGAACAAAAACAGAGGTCAGACCAGTAAGGATACTTATAAGACCAACAGGTACAAGGCTTTCATACCTTCATCAGTCAAATACAAAGACATGCAGGACAATAAAATGTCTTAGAAACTACTTGCAGCTCTGAAAACTCTTGCCCTCTTCAGAGACCTTCTCACTTTTCCTGAAAAATAAAGGGTTAACCTATAGTCGGGGCATCGAAAGAGAATTAGCTCTGAACGTTGTTGAAGGGCTTCCTTGCGATTTTGCATGAAGGGCCATTCAAAAGTCTTGCTAGATCATAAAAATAGTTTGGAGTCAGTGAGGTGAGGAGAAAAGCGATGAGGTTACAGGATGTTGTTACAAGGTCACTGTAGCCCCTTGGGGAGACGAGGGGGATCGCCACCCTGGGGTACGGGGTGAACTAAAAGGAAACTTTCAAAGAACCACAGGCTACACTGCAGTAAAAGAAAATGGAAACTGTATTTTAAAAGGGTCCTTAATCTTTACAACGTCGTCATAGAGAGAAACAGAAGTTTTGAAGGTCTGAAGGTTTGCAATATGTCGTCAAGATTGCGATGTGGCTAGAAAACAAATGATTGCTGCCTTTAGGTAGTAGCACTAAGTGCTCATAAAGCCGACCAAATTCTTCCAACAGGTCAATCCGACCGCTACAAAACTAATACGACTAATGGTATGCCACAGGGTCATTTCCTTATGTTTCTACAAAAAAAAAAAAAAAAAGCTGGATGTTTATGAAGACACAGAGGTCTGCAGAGAGTAGTATTTATTTTCTTGACAATTCTGCAGAGAGTATTCTGGCCCTTCTCCTCCGTGACTCTCACTCAACAGCCATCCATTTGTATGCCACAGGGTTTATTTATACATTACAAACCTTCATCAAGGCTAATTTGATGGGGTAAAGAAAGGGGGAAAGGAGTACACAAAAATTCTTATGAAAACGCAGCTGTTGCAAAGGGCAGATTCTGTCTAAATAAAAAGAGAAGTATCTTGGAATAATATACAAGGCCGCCGGGGGGTCATGAGGAAGGTCACCCCCATAAATATACAGCAAATACTTCAGTCGCACACACTGGTGGAACGTTGCAAAATACAGTCGCTTGACTGTTTGAAAGTTCCCTCTATTTACATCTGTACCACAAGAGCGAAATTTAGGAACGACAAAGACCAGAAATCACAGTTGAGATTAAATAAAAACTTAATTTCCATGAATTATACAAAATGTTACACAGGCCAACATTTTTCTCCTGAACTTGATTCTAAACCAGAGGGGTTTGTGAGTTAGTCAGAAACTGTGTTTTGATAAACACCAGCATTAAGAAATGAATTGCAGCAGCTGCAATTTTAAACCAGTCAAACCACAGAGAATGAGGAAGCTCAATATTTACATTTTTGTCGCTGCGTGTTTTACCATGATTACAATAATAAAAAAAAATTTCAAAAACGACTCCATTAGGCTGACCTCTCCACCCTTTCATGTCAGGAAGGAAGTCATTATAGTTCTTTATACAGCTGACGAGGCGAGGCCAATAATGATGGAGGGGTGGACTGAACAGTTCACAGTTCCTATGTGCAGACATACCTGCACTAAGCTGCCCTGCAGATCATACAGGATGCTTTGAAATGAGGGTCTGGAGCCCCTGAAAATGGAGGAGGCTGCATTAACAAAATTAGGATAAACTCTACAAGCTCAGGTTACGCAAAGAGCTCTGCTGCTCTGTTGGATGTTTTGCCTGTGTGTATCCGTTACTATATTTAACACACATAAAGTTTGTTAAATGTCAGGCCTACAAATTCCAGCTGAGCTATTTCAGTTTACTTCTAATTAAGCTACAACAACTACAGGTGTGAGTTATGAGGGATGATGTCTGAGGCCGCAGCTAGGAAGAGATAGATCACGGGCCTTTCTGCATGAGTGACATTCCAAAACAGTGCATCAATCAGAGTCAGGGTGGTCAGCTAGGAAGGGATGCAGGGAGAGTATGCCTCAGTGAAGTGGACCACCCAAAGCAGACAGCATACACCACCTCACACCACGGAGTACAGACCAAACTGTAAGCTTCACACTGTTTCATACTCCAAATATTGATGAAAGACCGCTCTCTCTGGCTGATAAACAGGCTGACAGGAGGGACTCCGTGAGCAATAGCAGCAACGTGCCACCTCAAGAAACCTTGTCTGTTATGCCTAAATCAAAGAGGAGATGGGAGCGAAGACGAAACCTTACTGGTACCCCCATTGGTAGAAGTGTGAACAGAAAACCAGCTCAAGAGCTAGTCCCCAAGATGGCAGATGCCTTCTAACTGTGCACAGAACAGAGTCTGGAACCAAAACAGATTAAGCATATCTAAAATATTGAGCAACCCAAGAAAACAAGCTCATTTTGCTCCAGACATCTTGATGTGTGTATCAGTTGTGTGTGGGCTGTTAAGGGCCATACTTGCTTGTCTGATTATTAGCCCCTCAGCTTCACTGAAGGGGAACATTTTTGTGGTTTTTTAGGCAGTGCAATTACACCTCCCCATTCCATTTGTTTATATCTTTCTTTTGATAATAACCAGTGCTGCACTGGGGGTTCAGTGTGGTCAAAGCATGTTCCCTAGGAACAAGCTTTGCAAAAGGAATTGCTGATAGATGTGGTTGAGATGTTTAAATTGGGTTCCAAGTCACTGATACTGATCGTTTGGACAGAACTGGAGTAATAGTGCCCTCTAGTGGCAATATATATATATATTTTTTAAAAACTACTGAACACAATACATACCTGTTCTTTAGATTTGGGGGAAGATGGCGACAACTCGTAGTCTTTCTTTGTCTCAAGGATCTTTTTCACAAGACCACCTACAGCAAGAGAAACCGTGAAAAGGAAAGTGAAAGATTTATTTCCACAAACTATTAAGTGTGTCAGTATTTCATCAAGATGAGGAATTAGGGTGAAATGTAGTGCTACTGGGCTTTTGAAATAAACAAACTGATAATAATATGAAACAATGAAAATGAAAAAACGTACCGTGTTTCTCTTCACTGTCTACTTCTTGTGTAGGTTGCTGTAACAGAGAAAAAATAGATATTCAACTATTTCAGGCTTCTGTTTTTCTGTGAAGTCACTGTTCAAGTCACTTACCACCTCTATTTCAGGAGCATCTGCAGGTGGAGGGACTGTTTCCTCCACAAGAAATTGCTCATCTTCGTCCTCCTCATCCTCAGACAGCCTCTTCCCGTCCAAGATGACAGGTGCTGAGGGCTTGGCACTAGACAGCCTAAAAAACAAACACAGAGCTTGAGCTGAAATTGTATTTAGCAGACATAGAGACGGGTGACATCTTAAAGGAAAACCCCTGACCCTTTCAGAGAAGGGATCCGAATGGCTCTCTAATGCTGTGAAGTGCATTTTGCTGTCATGCTTTGGATCCATGTGTCCCCTTAGAGGACGTTCAGGGACGGGTCACTGCAAATCAATACGAAGTTGCTCTGAAGGATCACCTTTATTTAACGAAGAAACCTTTCTTTCCTGATGAGAGTGCGTTCTTCTAAGATGGAGTCCCTGAATGGTTTGAGGATTTGTAAAAGATGTGAATCATGTGCTGTTGCCTTCACGGTCACTAGATCCAGTTGAAATTCTACTAGAGATTTTGGACCAAATGAGGAAAAATCTTTTGCAAGAATGTTGTTTTGTGGAGAATCAACCCTGAGGTGCATGTTGAGGACAATTTAATCCTGCAGAACTGTTCCAAACACTACCTTCATTGAGGGAATTTACTCTGTTTGGTTTGACCAATTGCAATCGATGCGCAGACAAGACTACTAATTATTTCACGAAGAGAAGGAATCTCTGGTCATGTATAGTATAAATGCGTTTAAAAAAACCGTCACCTCTCAGCTGGGGTCACATCACTGTAGCTTTCTTGTCTCTTGACTCGAGGAGGTGCTGGTCGAGCGCTGCTTGGCCGTGCTATTCGTCTGCTGCTGTTGAAAGAAGAAAAAAAAAAAAAACGTGTTAACAGCTCTCTGAGATTTGCCAAATGTCTACTTTGTGACAGCTACACTGAGTCATTCAGATTGTAGGGGGATAATTGTTGCTCTGGACAATATTCACAATATTAGTAACAGCTGCTGTATCACAGCTGCCCAACCAACCAATCATAACAGAGCAGTCATTTGAAAGGCAAAACTTTCCAAACTGAAATCTGCTGGAACAGATCTTGGATCGATCCCTGGGCAACCGTTCAAAAGCAAAATTGACCCCAATTTTATATTAAAAAAACACTACACGATATTACGCAATGTAATAACACCACATATAAAATCCTGTCAGCTTCTTTCTCATATTTTTACTGAAACAAATGAACTTTCTGAGCTTCATCAGTATTTTATGCATCATACGACTATAATACAATGTTGTTTTATATATTGTTTAGGCTGGTCATACTGTGCAGAGCTCGACGTACGTGCATGTTTGTCTGACAAAACCAAAAGCAGCTTAAGCAGCAGAAGAAAACTCTTTGTGATGATTAACTTGAGCAGTGCTTTTTGCATGTAAGAAATAATGGTTTATAGCACCCTGTACAGCGCTTCAGCAAAGTGTTTTTAAAGTGAGTGATGGCTTAGTGTTGACAGACCTGGAGGTCATGTCAGATGGCACTGAGGATCCTCCAGTGTCTCCATTTTCCTGGGGGACAGGTCTCTGGGCTAACTGAGCATCTCCATCTGTGAAAGAAAACCAATCCCTAGTGGTTAGCGTGATGTAATACAGTAAAGATCACAGCTGTGCTAAGCAAAACACTGCTCGAACAAGTATGGACCAATATCCTTCTGTCGTCTTAAATGGTACCATTCTGAAAATGCAAAATTCAGTTATACAACTACTACTGCCTTCTCGGATTTACGTCCAGCCCAAGGACGTTCTCCGCTGAGTGCTCCAAACTAAAACTACCTATAATTCTTCATGTGCTTTAAAAGTTAACCCAACACCCACTGGTAATCTTGTTTTTGTAGACCTCCAGCAGCTTCACTTCTCAGCTGAATGGAGTAATGTACAGTATACTGTTGGGTGTGGCTGTAGGTGCAATGGAACATATCTGACCACACTCAGCTTCAACAACCCATGATCCTGAGTGTGGTCAGAAGTAAAACAGGTTTAAAATGTCCAACCAAAGAGCAGAGGCAACTCAAAGAAGAAGGTTGCCAGGAGGGGCAATTGTCACTCCAGTGGCCACAATAGATGCAACAGGTCAGGTTCTTTCACTGAAACTCTTATGTTCCAGTTTACTGCTGAAGCTGCACAAAGCCACCTGTCCATCTCACGCTCCATTTTTCCATCACTCATGAACAAGATCCTGAGATTTTAAAATCTCCTTTGATTTGGACAGCAAATCCCAAAACCTGTTTTGGCATTTCATAGCAGGATACTGGCAGCAGTGACATTTTTTGTGAGTATGGATGCATTACAGAATCTGACACCTTTTATCAATATAGTAACCACCGAGTTATGGCAAAACGTATCTGAGTACAATAAAAATGCAATTTATTATACCCTAAGTCTCTGTGGTTTGAAAAACTATCATCACACATGGGCAGAATTTTAAGTATTGCAAAAAAAAAACAACTATGGCTGTCTTGCCTGTAGGTAAACTTTTCCCCAACTAATACTCTGCAGCATCTCGTTTCCAGGGCTATTTCAGGTTACCCAAGTCACATAATGTGAACTGTTCCTGGATTAGTCTATGCAAATCAGACAAATTTTACCAGTTAGTCAAGAAAGTATATAAGGATGTTTCTTCACCGTCATGTGTACATAGTTTTCAACTATGCTCTATACCACAACAGTGTAAGATTGTCAGTGGCCCCATCTTGCAAAAAATCTGCTGGTGCTCCTTCCAAAGAATCTTTATTTTAACAAACTTTAAAATCTAAGTGGGCAGGCAGTTTTATTACCCTCAGATTGAACACAAATCTCCACACACAGAACATTCTCGCACAGTGCTCTTGTTAACTTGGTGGCTCCACTTGCTTGTGATAAATGGGTAAACATTGCTCTCTTCAAACCATTACAGCCTTCTGTTTATTATCAAAAACGTCTTTTTCCTTTGCGGCCAAGCGCTCGCTGAAAGGGATTTGTTGAAAAAATAAAATAATATATAATAAGGTCTTGACCTTACGATGAAACGTGTCCTGAGATGACTTGTGTTGAGACTCGGCACTACGATTAAACTGAACTGTACTGAATAGAAGACAATTCTTCCCCGTACATGCCTTGTATTCTATTTCAAGTTTAGGTTGGGTCAGGCACCATTCCAACAGCAGACCTGTAAAGCTTGTTTAGACAGGGTATCTAATTCCAGGATTTGCATATAAAACTTGACTGACTTGCTCAGATGCTTTAGCAATGAATATCACGGTTTTTAATCATTGAGTGAGTCATTCAGGGAGCCAGTAACTTACTGGACTCACTGTCTGACTCAGTGTGGAGCCTGAATCCAAATTAGCATTCTGACATTTTGGGAGAGCATTTCACTGCCACCTAACCCTGAGGTAGATTAGAAAACTGACTCATATTATTTCACTGTAGGTTTCATAGTAAATGCGGGTTATTTTGTTAATTTAATTTTAAAACTATTTTATGTTCTTTGCATGGAACTAACAATGGGTACAGAAGCCCAGCATTGAACAAGTCCCAGGGCTAAAATACTGAAGACCAGAGGACCAATAAACTCCAGCATTCCTGATTATGCTATTGGTGCTAAAGGCATGAAGGAAATAGCTTTCACATTCATTAATTTTACATAGCATATTTTATCTTACCAACTTTATTTCAGTTTTAGAGTAATGACGAAGTTTTGCTATTTTCAAAGTCCCTTGATTTAATTTCATCTGTTCTCTGACTGAATGCTGGTGTCTTGACTAAAACTATGCTGCACAGAAGTCAATACTGTCAAATAAAGTGCCCTACATTCAACCTTTACACCTAAAAGTGAAGGATAAACGACAGGAGAGGATGTTTTTTAATACGGAGAGAAAATAAAACAATGTTAATTCTGTTCCTAGTTTGCGTCATTTATTTTCTTAAAAAATAAAACGAATCAATCAGAGTACCATTTAACGACAGGATCAATGAGCAGTATTGGTAAAAGTAGAGGTCCTGTTCAATTTAAACGATTCCCATTCCCACATGGCACTACATAAGAGAGCGAGCGAGAGAGAGGAGAGAGAACACTTACCTCCCTCACTGTCAGATTCATCTGTTGGGGAAACAAATACATCGTTAGGGTCGTTTCTAATCAGAGCACAAAGAAACACTAAAGAGCAATGTGACACGCAAAGTATGGACTAAACACAAAAACAGATAAATCAATCGGCTGCGCATCTTTGAAATATCCAATGAAGAAAGTTTTGGTTGAAACCTTATTATTAATGTCAGTTCTTTGAAGCTTTATTGTTCCTGCCAACAAAGCAGTAATGTTAATGAGTCACTCCTATCTCCCACTAAGGGAACTAGTCAACGATTTTATTAGTGGAGTGTTAATAGAACCCTGTCAACTGTAAAAATCAATTTGGATGTACTAAAAAGCCCTTCTGTCGATGACGAAAACGCAGTCCAGAGCATTACTTGAAACATCTGTGTTAACTTATCGGAGGAGACGATTGAAATAGGGTGATGGGGGTAGAATGAGGTGGTGAATGGGTGCTACCTTGACCTCCAATTTTGGGTCTCCGCCTCTGTCCTTTGGCGGAGGAAGGCCGAGGTATTCTAGCTGGACTGTCAGACTGTAAACGGAGGAAAGAAAGAAGGCAACTTCAGAAAGACAAGCACTGAAAGTCAACACACATTGATGCATTTTTATGTACAGCTCTCTATTGTGCTATCTTCTATTTTTGTATGTAAAAAAAAACCACACAATTTAAACGCTGTAAATCAAGAAGGAGGGAATGCAGCTGAGGTTAGATATACAATTAAACATATGAGATCATAGATCAGAGAAAAATAATTGGGATTTAAAACAAATATAACCAAAGTGTCATTGTTATAAAAACAAATAAAATACACTGGACAGTTTATATGAGAAGGGTCAAGCAATATAATACACTGTCCTTAAAAAGAACTAGAGTGCCAAGAAGGGTGTAGGACTGACTACTGAGAACTCTTCACAAGATAGCAACAAAGTATAGCTAGAACTGGAGATTACTGTAAATTAATTTAGTCTGGAAATCAGGTCCCCTCTGTGCTACAAAACAGGCTATGAATAATTGAACGCCTCACACCTCACTACACACCACCAAACCCGTGTTTCATCTTCAAAATGGCTATCCCACATGTGAACAAGCAAATCTGTGACCTTAGCTGTTGTACAGCTGACTCATGAAGCTCAAACATTTGTCTTACATCATTAATGAGTCTCAGAATACTCTGGATAGAGGTTTTGCATCGCAACAGTGATCCAGGCTAACAGTCACATGAACACGAGGAAAACTGTAGCGGATTGTAATTGCACTGACTTGATGAAACAGTATCTGAAATGAAAAAGAGCGACGGAGCCACGTCTACTATTACAGCAAATGAAGTTCTTACCTGGTTCTCAACTGCTTCTGTGGGCTGTACAGGTAAAGAACACAGCATTATATCATACCCACATAGATCTGTTACGCAGGTGTTACAGCAAACATGACCTCATGTCTGTTCCACACTATAGCCCAAACTAGCACCAAATCAAGCAGCTAGCCACCCCGAGGCTATTGCAATAGTCACCACATTCAAGCACTAAATTGTCTGCAATATGCAGGACTATTCTACTGATCATTTCTGCAGGCATGAATACCTCTTCATCTGGGTTTGGGTCCTTGCAAGATAAAGAGGGACAACATTGGAGCACATGTTTTCGAAAATCACTGAACAACTCTTGTTTCTTGAATTTACCGAATCATCTCACAGAAAACTCACAGATATTAAAATACGTTATCGGTGAGAAGTGCAAACTTACCGCTGGCACAGTTTTGGCTGTTTTGCTAGGCTCTTCAGGGCTGGGTTTCTGCTGTGGCTCCTCTGATACTCTCGCCTGATCACAAACACACACGCACATTGAATGGAAATGATGGCTTGTTGATGGCATTTATTATGTGACAATATGTGAGTGGAGTCAGGGGGCATACCTTGCTCTGTCCACTCTCTCCACTTCTGTTTCTTTCATCCGTGTCTTTGTGTCTCTCTTTGTCTCTATCTCTTCGTTTTTCCTTGTCTCTTTCTCTGTCTCTGTGAGGATCTCTCTCTCTTGTCCTTTCTCTGTCTTTGTCTCTCTCCTTGTCTTTTTCCCTTTCTCGATCCCTCTCTCTGTCCTTCTCCTTGTCCTTGTCCCTGACTCGTCCTTTGTCTCGCTCCCGGTCTCGACTCTTGTCTTTGTCTTTGGCGTGGTGGTCCTGTTCACCGCGGTGGTGCTTGTCGGAGCGCTCCCTGTCACGATGGTGTTCTTTCTCTCCATCTCTGCGTCGACCCTCCTGCTCTTTGGGCTGGTCCGGGTCCTTCTGGTCCCGACTGCCACTGCGTTCTGTAATCTTTTTCTTTTCCTGAAATAGTTTTTACCAACACAGTGGATAAGGACTTAATGACAGCCATTATAAAACACTGTAAAACTGATTATATGAACAAAGCCATCTCATCACCAGACTAAATGGTAAAATAGAAAATACAGTATATGTAGGATTGTGTAACAAAAAAATTGCACATTTCCAGTGGGTTGAGGACTCTCACCTCTCTGTCTGGATGACGTTCACGTCCCTCCCTATTCTCCTTGCCCTGGGACCTGGAGGTGCTGGCTTTGGTCTTTATGTCCACCTTTTCTCCTGTGACCACTCGCTTAACTGCATCCTCACTGGACATCTGCAGATCAAGCACAGAAGAGTCATTTTATCTGATGCTGTAAAGACCTGTGAGAAATAAGCTGTTGTTTGAATATTTAACAAGGACGGTAAAAAAACGCTGCGTAAAAGATCGGCCTCAAAGCATGTCGATGTGTTCAAGTGTCCTTAAGCAAAACTCTGACTGTAACATTTTTAAAAGGGACAATCTGTCGCTCATTTTGTTTTTCCTGTGGAATGAGGCAGACGAAAGGCCATAAAATAGCACTAAAAAAACACAGGGGTGCACGTAAGGTTTATTGCTCTGAAAAGATAAGAAAAGAATTGAAGAAATAAATTCGTTTTTTGCCATTTTGTTAGATTAATGGGCGATGATGTATCTGCTCAGCTGCCTTTCCTGACTGAGCCTGCTCATTATAACCGTCGTCATACTTTGAATTCACATCACTGTCAGAGCTCGACCCACGTTTGTGACATTCTCACGGTTTGTTTAGAATTTACGAGACGCTTCATACAAGCTGAAAACTCAGAAATACTATCGCAATTGTAACCACATGCCATCAAAACAGAAAACTAACATTGCAAAGGCTACGAGGAATAAATTTATATCACCAAGAATAGTCTTCAAACAGTTTAAAGAGTAACTATCCCCCAGGCATCAGCTCATCTGTTTACACTTAATCTCTGGGGTTCAATTAAAATATTTCAAAGTTTTCCCTGAGGAAGTTCGACAGTTTTCCCAAGAGCATGTTATTTTGACGTGAAAAATAACACATATTAAATTTTCTTTTTATGTAGGGCCATCATTCAATTTGGGTCTCCAGTGTAACAGACATAAACAATGAATAAATTGGAGACACTTGAGTGTGAATGTATTCCTCTAAGCGTGTGCGTGACATCTTCCAATGAGACGAACCTTGTTGAGGCAGCACTTGGCGATGGCCTGCAGCAGCTCATTGGTTTTCTCAGGCTCGTGGCCGGCGACGATGCGCGCTGGCTTTGCTGCCAGGGGCTCGCCACTCACCAGCATCACCACATCTATTGCTTTCTGGAGGAAGACTATTTTAGACTCCTTATCCTAGAAAGAAAAAAGGATGCTGTGATGATTAGGTCAGTGCACAAGAGAGATAAGAAATGGTGTGTGGTGGTGAAAGTCAAGAGCTCCAGTGGGATTATTTACCGCTGCTGTTTCAAAATATTAAACACTTGAGATTTGCACACGCAGAATTCAGCACAAGGTAGTCCTATAGTGCTATAAATCTACATAGCCTGCATTGTATTTGTAAATATAATTGGACTAACAATTACAAACTGTGTCCACCATTTTGGTTTGATTCCTCTCTTTTCTTGCTCATTCTGTTTAAAATACCAAACTATGTTTTACTTTGCAGGGGTGAATCTTAAGTTGCTACACATTATAAATGTTTCCAAGGTGTGAAATGAGCTCTGAACAGGAAATCTAGCAATTCGACATAAAATCATGAACCTCCAAAGTCCAGTGAGCAACATGTTGGCATTTACGTGGCAGCATGAAAGACAAAATGGAAAATCTGGATATAACAAGGACAGCCTTCAGAAAAGGACGAGCAAACAAGCATCCATCCCTCCTTTGGTTTAATTCCTGCATTCTTGTATGCATGTAAATAAAACAGACCTTATTCCAGACTAATGACCCAGCTAAACAGTGCCTCTAGTCTGTCAGCCTGCTGCATCTGAGAAGCCTGCCAACTGTGTAACATAAGGACATGTATCTGGTGCAACCACCTGGCCCTTCTGTGTAACATCTGATAATAGGCTGGCCTTTTCAGCGATGAGCCCTTTATGAAATTTCTATTCAGCAACACGCTCTTGCACAGGAGCTTTTAGGGCAAGTAATAAAATACATAATTGACAAAAAAAAACACTGGGGAGAAACAGCAGTCGGCAATTTATCAAAACTGGTGTGTTTCAGACACATAATGGCACGTCTAGTCCTGCAGCCTTTACTGCTGCAATGCTCTCCTTTCAGGATTACCAAACCAATGTTATATGTTACAAATTTCATAATGAAAAACACTACATGGTCTTGTGTCTTGCACCAAAATTCTTCAGCCTGTTAAATTCATCTTACAGCCTATCTTGCTATTATTTGATGCATGATCACATTCAGTGATCATGTTCAAGCTTTTTCGCAACAGAAAATAATGTCTGAGAGGGTTTGTAATATCCATGACGAGCTATCATTATCAGGATATATTAATGAAATGAATGAATGAAATGAAAAATACTTTATTCATCCCAGAAGGGAAATTCAATAATATTATATTAATATTGATTAAACCATTTTAAAAAGGAAAAGCACATTGAAAATATATCTAGTTTAAGAGCTCAAGACAGTAGTTTGAATACAAAAAATGTCCAATTGAGAATAAAATATCAGGATGTTAAACAAATTAACAACAGATCTAGGGCTTGTCCTATATTATCAAATTTTTTAAAAAGCAGCATATTCAAGAGGCCATGTGATACTACATATCCCTTTCACTGAGACTTTGAAAATGTCTCTCTCCACTTAATACATGCCAAGACACATCAATCAACTTGTGGTACCTCCTAGATAAGACCTACAGTCTTTAGAAGTCTCACCACTCAGCAGCCTGCTTGGTAATGCCCCTGGGCAGTTACTTCAGGCTAACGAGACCAGACTCCTGTCTACATGAGCAGGGAGAGAGCAATAACTGCGATTTCAAGAGTAACTGGATCACTGACTGTATTAAATCACCAGCCAAATCTGACAAAAAAAAGGCCTAAAAGTCTGGCAAACTTGCTCCACATTAAAGTTTGGTAAGCATTTTTTCCTCCACAGTTATACTTCTACTGCGCATGGACACAGTTTCATAAAATGATGCCTGAGTCAGTGCAGCAACACAATGGTAAAAAGCAGCGAACTGGCTTGTTGGGGGAAGTGCAAGACTTGTGTCATACAACGCCATCAATGGTACCACAGAATTCTCCCATAGACTGCTATTCAGGATTCTTTACATCATGTCTGCAGCAATAACACCAAACTAACATTGTTTAATTTCCAGAACTTGCCCATACAGTTGTAAGATATTGAGTTTTGAACAATAACATTCATCCGAGGTCAGCTGAGAGGACTCTTCTCCTCTTCTTGTAGCATCTTCTACTATTCCAGCAATAATCTCAGGTCAGTTCACAAACGGCAGACTTGAGTTCTGACACCTTGAGAAACCCTCTCAGTCATGTCCTGCCAGATCCTCTCACTCAAAGGGTGTTACACAGGCAGCGTGTAGAGTTACCCCCACACACAGAGGCTCTCAGACTGTTCCACGCAACGCACAGGTGACCTCATAAACAAGGCTGCTTCTTCGGACATGAAAAGCACATTAACAAAGGCAAACGAATATAGAGGAACACGATTAACTAAAGAACAGTGATACCAGCTTCGTTCAGCAGGAGACCAGAGGTAAAAGAAAAGAGAACAGCCAAACACACAGAGGACAGTCGCCTTACCTTTACACTGTCTGACTTCATTTCATTTTCTTCATACAAGCCTTTCATAAAACCAGTGGTCCTGATGACCTAAAAGTGGTGAGAAAAAATGGTTTAACAGTCAAGTCAGATCATTTTCACAACTGACTATTCCATATTTTTAAAAACACACACCATCCGCACTGTAAAATAAGTACCCAATACAGAAATCTATTTCTATAATTTCACAACATGTAATAGCAGTAGTGCTTTTTATACTACAGGGTAGCTTGCTAAACAACTATTTAAGCTTGAAAGTAGCACTCTGGTTGAAAATAAGTTTAACAGTTTGAAAATAACATTCAGACTTTACCAATTTAATTTCTGAAGTCAGACTCAGACACACTGCAAATGGGAGGAAAGGAGTCGCACATACCGACACGCTTCCCTTCATCAAATATACATGAACCTACAATGAAATATAAGACTACCCAACAGGTGGAGAGTGAGAATAAGATCTCACCTCTGTTTAGAAAAGTGAAACAGATTTTACTCTGCTTAACACCTCATGTCAAAGCAATGTGGTGTGAGTAACAACTAGCTATAAAAGAAAAAGCAGTCTTTCAATTGACATACTGTGACAAATATTTCAACTGATAAATTAGATCAAACATAATTTAGCAATGTATTAATCACAACAGAACAAAATGTCTCATGGAGCTCACACAGTCCTTCCTGTGTTATTTTATGTCGTTCTGGTAATTTTGCTGTCGTTATTCCTTCTATTACAACTCCAGTTTTTTCTACTGGTGTTTGGTTTGCCAAATTGATGCTTGTATCAAGCTGAGCTTAATTCCAGGTAGACTTTATGACATCAGTAAATCAGATGATAGTTCATAACACAGACGCATTCATTATTTAGATCTCAAAGCTGACCAGATGACAATCGTGTTGGCATTAAAAGGTTATATTGTCAGTTTTTGGTTGGAACTTCCAGTCAGGTGAGGCTTCATAAAGCTTTTGTGACATACAACATATTCTGTGGACAAATTTCTTCATGCTATCTGACTTATCCAGTCCTTGCGTGGTATAATCCCTTTATGATGTACACCAAGCAGATGAAACTAGATACTTGTGATGAGCAGTAGCTGACCCTGTAGCCGCTTTACTCTTCACCTGAGAGTTAACAGCTGCTGTGGGGTGCTCAATGATCTTAGCTACCAAGAAATCAGACATTTTACTGTGTTCATCACTCGACTACTACAGTCAGACCTTACAAAAATGTTCTAGTAAGGCTCTAAGTATACCGTTATTATATGTGTGTATCCTAACTTGTTTTGCAAGCAGCTTTGAAGAACCCAAGCTGATTTCAAGAGCAGTTAAACACTGCTTCACGTATACAGACAGCAATTACAGCACAACCTCCGTGATCTCAACGTGACGGGTTCCACAGATCAGACAAATTTATCCAACTTGGCAGTTGCAAGATTTCTCTAATTAGCCGATGGAGGACATATTGGTTTGTTGATCCTTGTGTTGGCTCAAATCGTGCCTGGCAACGACACGACGCTGTTGGCAAGGCTAGCTAAGTAGCTAACCCACGATCTAAACTTAAGGGGCTACCTAACATTTATGCTAGTGGCTAATGGGTGTTAGCTAGTCGTTGGTTTGAAATGGACAAGTGGTGAAACTGCTTGGCCAGCATCATTCGTGCTACGGCCGACTACTTCAAGGAGCAGTAACGTTGCTTAACGGTCGCTAACTTACTTGGTTAGCTTGGTTCATGCTAATGTTGGCCAGCTAACGGGTTCACATGTCCGTGTTGTAAAACAGCACAGCTCCAGCTGGTGTTAGCCTTTTTAGAAATGCAGTCAGAAGAGGTTCATGGCGCCAGTGAAACAAACGCCACTTTGCCAACATGATTGTACCGTTAGCAGTTGACACTCACCTCACTAAAGATGTCGTGCAGGTATCGAAACGGCGGCTTGCTTAGCAGTTTCTCCGTGAGAGGCGGTTTCTTTATCACTTTGCCCAGCGTTTCCTGGGTCTTCTTCACCACCGCCGCATTCATGGCAGCAGCCGAAGGTAAAGCTAAGTATTGCTAATTGAGGAGATAAAGCAAAAACTACTCGGAACTGAAAAGATTAACGGCTCTGTCGCCTGGTTGCTATGTCAATATACTGCAATCCCACAGTGCATCATTAATGAAGAGAGCGCATGCGCCCAGGGCTTACGGTTGCTAAGCACTCTTTGTGTCCATAGCAACAGTTAACAACCAGCAACAAAACTGCAAAGAGTAGATAGATAGATAGATAGATAGATAGATAGATAGATAGATAGATAGATAGATAGATAGATAGATAGATAGAAAAAAAACACAATGTAGTGCATACAAATCAACACAGTTTAAGAAAAGGTTTTTAAAAATTGTTAAAACAAATAAAAAGCAGTTCAAAAGAAATTAAAACTTAAATAAAATCAACAAAGGCTTCCAGGGGCAGTGACTTCAAATGCTGTGGGTCCTTTTAGTTTTCAGCCAGGCCCCTGAAATAGACAAAAGGCCTCTGCACGATCCCAAAATGCACACTGGTGCAAACAATATTGAAATGATCAGAAATCTAGCTTGGTGAGAGGCCATGAAGTGCCTTAAAGGTGATCAGCAAAACCTTAAAATATGTCCTAAAACAGACATTAAAGAGGCTTAAAGAAGAGTGATGTGCTTGTGTTTCTCAGTTCTGGTTTTAAAAAAAAGGATAGATTCATATAGAGATAGTTTACACTGCCTGTGCCAAATTATTGCTCACCGTTTAAGAGCAGAAGTGGGTTCAATATCATCGGGTTTATTCTGGGATAGAGCGGAGGGTTATAGCAGGATTTCATCTACCTCCCCTCACATCTTTGACACTTGCTGCAGCTCGAGCACACCAGCTCACCTGTGACACTGTAAAACTGCTCTGTATTACATAATGGCAAGTTGCAATGTTAAACTAATTCAGTCACACATGTGCCAAATAAAAACAGACTTTGTAGAATAATAGTTATACAGAAAGTCTCACTCTGTAAGCTGATGGGTTTGGTTCTTTTAGTTTGCTACGTACAAAATCCCAGAAGTCTGAATCAGTGTTTTTGAGACCGTCATCAGTTCATTTCAGTTTCAAGTGGAAATGATCAGTCATGATGTTGACTGTGTATTTTACTGATAATATACCTCCCACCATATTACAAAAACATTAAATGCACATTTTTGTAGGATAAAAAACTTGATTTTCATGAAGGAGGTTTGGGGGGAAAAAACTGCACCTTATTACATTTTGAAAAAATAAATAAATAAATAAAGGACACGAGATGAGAAAAGAAAATCTTGCTTTCAGGGTCAAACCTCTTGAAATCCCTTGAATGACATATTGGGGGGATAAGGCCTTCTCTGGAACGCTCTCCCACAACATATTCATGACACCACAGACCCAGTAATATTTAAATCTAAATTAAAAACTCACCTGTTCCGCTCTGCTTTTCCCACCGAGGCCTTTATCTTGATATTTAATGTTGTTTTTATCTGCTTGCTGTATTTCTACGTTGTCTACTTTTGTATTAGTTGCTTATTGTTTATCGCTTTTATCCTGTGAAGCGTCTTTGAGTTCTTGAAAAGCGCTATACAAATAAAATGAATTAATATTATTACTATTATTATTATTAGTAGTAGCAATAGTAGTAGTAGTAGTATCAGTATTAGTATTAGTATTTGTATTATTATTACTATATTATTATTATTAGAGTTTCTGACTGCTTAAGGCCAGCAA